TTTGTTCAAGGTGCAAATCTCTTGCATGATCCATAACACAATTTCTTCCCTGGCTTTCTAAATAGTGAGAACATGTTCTTTTATTTCTTACTTATCATTTGCATTTTATCTTTTTATTATTGTTGTTTTATCCTTACCACTTTATTTAGTTTTTAATTGTTTTTATGGTGTTTACCAATTTGTGAAGCACAATAGAAATGGATGCCTAGAGATAATAACTGATGCAAGAAAGGGTTTAAAGGGGATGTAGGATGGGAGGGGGAGATAGAGAGGGTGAGGGGATTTCAAGAGTAAACAATGGAGGTGGGAGGGGGAAGAGAATATAAGAAATGGTTGTGATCCCACAACTCATTTCAAAGTCGACTTAATGGGGGGGTGTTCTAAAATTGATGGTGGTAATGACTGCACGATTCTTCTTGATATGTTTGAATGACTGTGTGAACTACTGAATGGTATGATATGTAGATTAGGTGCCAATAAAAATGTAAATAATAATATACTAATCAACAATTTTACATGGGAAGGAAAGAGACCTAGGATAAGTAAGATAGTACTAAAGAAGAAAAATTTAAGAGGCCTCTCACTTCCCAATCTCAAAGTATGCTACACAGCCACCGTAATCAAAACAACCTGCTAATGGTACAATGAGAGATGTACAAACATTGGAACAGAACAGAAAATCTAGTAATAAATCCATCTACTTACATACAGCTACTTTTTGACAAAGGAATGAAGCCCATTTAATGTAAAGATGAAAATCTCCAACCAATGGTGCTGAGAAAATTATATTTCCATTTGTAGAAGAATGAATCAAGACCCATACCTCACCCCATATACAAAAATAAACTCAAGATGAATTAAAGACATAAATGTTAATTCTTACAACTATAAAGATCTTCAATGAAAAAAACTAACCTAGGAGCCATGGCATAAATACACTATCAAACTAACAAAAAACACACATGGAAAAAGACAAAATAAAGATTGGGGCCTCTTTTAAAAAAAGACAAAAAAGAGAACCCACAGAGAGAGGGGAAATTTTTTGACAATGACAGACAAAGAACGAATCTGTAAAATCTACAGAAAATTTCAAAACTTCAACAAGAAGAAGATGAATAACCAAATTAAAAAATGGGCAGAAGACATGAACAAACAGTTTACCAAAGCAGCCCTTTGGTAAACATATGAACAAACATATGAAGAAATACTCGTGATCAGTAGCCATCCAGTATATACAAATCAAAACAGTGATGATTACCACCTTAGCCCAGAATAGATAGCAAAGTTCTAAAAAATCAGAAAACAACAGATGTTAGAGGGTGTGGACAGACTAGAACAGTGGACAGTACAACCACTGTGGAAAACAGGATGGTGCTCTTCAAACAACTGGAAATAGAACCTGGGTATAACCCAGCCAGAAATAATGCTACTTATTACATAACCTCCAGAAATAATGAGCACAGCATGAACAGACATAAGCACACACCTTTTCTTTCTCTCTTTTATAAATCATTTTATTGGAGGCTCTGACAGCTCTTAAAACAATCCATGTATCAACTGTATTAAGCACTTTTGTACATGTTGCCATCATTTCTAAAACATTTGCTTTCTACTTGAACCTTTAGTATCAGCTTTTTTCCCCTCCCTCCCCCACCTTCCCACTTTCATGACCCCTTGATAAATTAAAACGTACTGTTTTCATATCTTATAGCATTCGCTGCCTCCCTTCACCCACGTTTCTGCTGTTCATGCCCCGGGGGGTGGGGGCGGGGGCTGCTATACATCCATCATTGCAATGGGTTCCTGCTCTTTTGCCTTCTCCCCAACCTTCCCCCTACCCTCATGGTATCGCTACACCCCTTGTTCCTGAGGGGTTTATCTGTCCTGCATTCCATGTGTCCAGGGTTCTTATCTGTGCCAGAGCACACCCATTTTCATCATAGCACTATTCATAATAGCAAGAAGATGGAAAAAATATAAATGCCTCTCAGTGGAAGAAAAAATACCAGTTATTGTCAAAGAATAATGATGAAACTATGAAGTAGTTCATAACAGCAATGGATTTGGAATATGTTATACTGAGTGGAATTAGTCAATCACAAAAAGGACAAATATTGTATGAGATCACTGTTTAAAAAAAAAATTCAAGAAAAGGCTGTCATACCAAATGAGACAGACAGATGGTCTCAGAGGTGGGAGGGGAAGGAAGTTAGGGAAAGCAATAGGCTAGTGCAATTGTTCTCAACCTGTTGGTCCCGACTCCTTTGGGGGTTGAACGAACCTGTCACAGGGGCAGCCTAAGCCCATCAGAAAACACGTATTTCTGATAGTCAGGAACCGAGACACCACTCCTTTATCTGTCTCCAGGCAGGTCCGCCCACATGCAGACACACCCACATATGAGTACCCAGTGTGAAGACTGTTACCCAAGCTACAGTACCATGCTTCAAGACAAAATTTCATTTATTTGTAATTAGAAATAAGTATTTCACAATATATAATTACATGTTGTTTTGGTAATTAATCCCTGTGCTTTAAGTATGTTCAATTTGTAACAATGGAAATACATCTTGCATATCAGATATTTATATTATGATTCATAACAGTAGCAAAATTACTGTTATGAAGTAGCAACAAAAATAATTTTATGGTTGCGGGTCACCACAACATGAAGAACTGTATGAAAGGGTTGCGGCATTAGGAAGGTTGAGAACCACTGGGCTAGTAGGTAGACAGATGTAAACTTGGGTGAAAGGGAACATAATACACCACAAGAGGTAAATGAAAAACAAAAAGTGGAGAAGGAAACAAGACAAGCCACTGGCAGGTTGAATCCGTTGTTTTAAGTTGTTGAATGCAAAATGATCTTAAATGTAAACGCCACCTAATTCACAATAAATATTTGAAGAAACAGTATTATGTTCAGCAACAGTGAAAAAAATCAAGAGTTACATGGTAGAATAAAAGTTCAATGCACCCATTGAAGAGCACATTTTTGAAAAAAATATATCATGGCATGGGTATTTTCAAAAAATTAAGGGAAAGGGAGATGGCAGAAGGCTGCGTATGATTCTAATTTTAAATTTCAGTGCGTAATACTGAAGAGGTTTCATCAAAGCTTATATCCAGGAAATGACACCATAGGTAATCTTTTGGCTTCTTCTTTGTATTTGTTTTTTTTCCCCACTCTACATAATGCATATATTGTTTGTATAATAAAAGTTACCCATGTTTTAATAAATTAAAACTTACCTTTGGTTAAAAAATTTTATAATCTCAGAAATGCTATGGAGCAGTTCTACTGTCCTGTGGAGTCACTCTGAGTCAGAGTGGACTCAATTTATTAAAGTCATAGCAGAAGCTGGGTTTTTTAAATGGTGATATCAGAATCTGGAAATAGTATTTAAATTTTGTTCAGTAGTACAATAAACAGAATTGGGCCTCTTTTGACCTCTTCTGGCTTCCCTACTGTCACAAAGCAGACTCAGGAGGAACAGCACTGAGGCTAACGGGTACCTTGTCCTCATCTGGCCTGTGACTGTGGAACTGTGAGACAGAGAAGCAGGCTGGCTGCCTGGCCCATGAAAGCAAAGGCCAAGGGATCATATGGCTGAGAGCCCGAGGACTGGAGAAAGACTTGGCTGCTGGGTGAGGAGCAATGTGGCTGTGGACCAATAACTGTTTATTTTCTGTTTGCCACGCCTGACTGTGGTAACCTATTAATTTCCCTAATAAACCCCCTTAATTGCATTATCTGTGAGTTCTATATGGTTATTTCAATGAATTATTGAACCCAGCATAGAAATAGAGTGCTTTGGGAGCAATGATTAGTGTCAGGATAGGAAAAGAAGGAGGGAGCATAAAGGCATGTCTGATCTCCACCTTGTGGCACTATGGAAGCCAGAAGTCAGATATGTACACCTCCATTGCCATGTATTGTAATGGGTGTCAGAAGTGGGATTTCTTACAATAGTAGAGGTCATAGATCTGACTGAACTGGTTCTGGACTTGATTCAGTGCTACTTAAATTCTCTTTCTAGGCTATGACAGCTACTACTGATAACAAAAACCAAAGAATTATATGCTTTGTCCTTTTCTTATCATTCTGTATTTATCCAAAAAACCAGTTCCTCGGGAGTTAGAATTATATCCACGAATTCTGTATACCATGAATAGTTTTTGCTATTGTATTGTAACATAGCAGGTGTTTTTATCCATCTCTGTTCTTTATCTCATTCAAAAACCAAAGATCTCTCATTTTCCTTGTTTTTCTTTTCCCAAAACCACATTTTCCCATGTGTCAGGGCTGTCATAATGAGCTACACTATATTGACACTAACTATGGTAGTAATTTCTTTTAGAAGGACTAATACCAGATAAGTCTCAAGGAGTTGGAAATTAATGATGTCCCAAATGTCCAACTCTTCAAATTTGTTATTCTGCTACATTTCCCAACCCCCACTCCTCCTTTGATTATATTCCCTCATATCATTGGATCCTGTGATTTGCTACAAAATCCAACAGAAACTCACAAAATTTAGTGGAAATGGCTTAAGTGGTTCAGTTCAAAATTCAAAGGTCAGGCAGAGTTGAGCCAAATGCAGGACCCAGAACCAGAAGCCAAAAATATCTAAAAGTCACAACAGGTCTTGTTTCTACCAAAACTCAGTCAGGAAATAAAAGGTGAAGCAATATGGTGGTAACATTATATATCCAAGGAAAACAAAGGATGGTGTCTAAAGTCACACCGTAGTACAATTTAATGATGCCTCTAAGGAAACCAAGTATGTGGCTTAGTTAAGGACCTAAACCTCACCTTAATCCTGTAACAAAGAACACCCTCCAAAATGGGATCACAGACACATGGATAGAATTACAGCATTAAAATGTATCACGTAAGAAATTAAAGCTAGAAGGGCAATAATAGTTGATGATATCGCAAGTAGAGCCCTAATTAGTATCCTTATCTTGGAGTCTCTCATCATTATATTCTCACCTACCAAGCCATTTTTGTAACACAGTAACACCACAAACAGACATAAAATAACGCTGCATTGTCATACTTCTAAAGTAGAATGACTCCACAAAAACTAACAGACCAAATTTCACCTTCTCTACCTTTCAAGGTACTTGGTTCTCTCCAACCCCAGCAGCAGGAACACATGCAATCACATTTTATATATTTAAATATATAATCATATGACCTAGTACTTCTTTGTTCTTCATCTGAAGCTTACTTTACCTTTTCTAATTAACCAATCACTCAGCTAAAACTATTCTACAAATGATCTTCATAAAGTTCATGGAAAATGTACACTGTATAAAAATAGATGTGGATTTCACAAAATTTTTGCAACAAAAATAAACTCACACTAACTTGTTAAAACATTCGTGGATAGGATCTAGGTTGAAAAACTAAGGTTATCAGTTTGAATATAATCTCTTAGTAAAGCTACATCAATTCTGCTAAATTTATATTAAAGAACAAACATCGAATTTATGCTGAAGTTTGAGTAGAATAATAGTGAATCATTGATACTTTACAAAAAGTTTATGGGAACAATGCCCCCCAAGGTAATAATCTACAAATGATAACTTGTTTTAAAAAGGGAACAATTTTAAAGACAAAGCCAAGTAGCAGACAATCCACATCAATTTGCAAATAAACCATTAACTTGATTGAAGACAACTGACTATAGTAGCAGGAGCAATAGCCAACACCAAGGACATTTCAGTCAGTTCAACTGGCGCAATTAAAGTGGAGCAAACTTTCTGCTACATGGGTCCCAAAAATGCTGCACCCAGGTAAGTTGCATACTAGAACAAAGCTCTCCATGGAAATTTTTAGTATTTCTCTGAAGAAGTTTAAAACATGAGATAAAACATGGCTTTCTCCATATAATCCTGAAGGCAAAGTATAATTAAAGTAATGGCTACCAAGAGGTGAAAATGTTCCAGTCAGAGCAAAAGTTGACCAGTCAAAATCAAAGGCTATGGCAGTTTTAGGATTGTGTTAAGGCATTTTGCTTGATAATTTTCTGAAGGGCCAAAGAATGATAATACCTATTTATTATGAGTGTTTTTACAAAATTGGCCAAAGTTTTAACAGTAAAATACCTGGGAAAACTTTACCAGAGTTTTCTTCCACAAGACAATGCTCCTAATCATTCCTCTGACCAAACAATGGCACTTTATTGTTTCAGTGGGAAATCAATAAGTATCTACCTTACAGAAGTGATTTGGCTTCTTCTGACTTCTTTTGGTTTCTTAAAAAAGTTTTAAAAGGACACCCATTTTACTTCAGCAAATGTAAAACATGCCTGGACATGGTTAAAATCCCAGGATCCTGTCTTTTAGGGATAAATAACTGGTATCATCACTTATAAATGTGTCTTGAATCTGACTGAATTTGTTGAGAAATAAAGTTTATATAAAAACTCTAAAGCCAAACCCACTGACAGCAAGTCAATTCTGACTCATAATAGCCCTTGTTCCTAGGATTTTCATGACGTTATGGGGGGCGAGGTCGTCTTTCTCATTCATAATGGCTGGGCAGTTTGATCCCCCAACTGTGGTTAGCAGTGCAGTTCTTACCTGACAGTGCCAGAACAGCTTTGATCTTTTCACTTATTTTCCACTTTTCACTCAAATTTTCCACTAACTCTTTGAAGTCTGTTCATATGTTCTAATGTTGATCATAAACACTTTCAAACTTAATGGCATGTCCTGTTTTCTCCTCCGCTCAACTATAAGCAGAGAAAGCCTGGTGGGGCTACAGGGTAAATGTTGACATTTTAGCTGCACGGTTGGGGTGGGAGACAGTTAAGGATATCTGCTCTCCCAAAGATTAACAGCCTCAGAAACCCTATGTAGGTTTTGATTCCATTGAGCTAGAATCAACTCAGTGGCAGTAGTTTTTAAGCTATCTACAGGGAGCCATAGTAGTATAATGGGTTACACATTGAGCTGCTAAGCACAGGGTGTTCTTGAAATTCAGGTGAGATATATTCAACATTGTATTGTGACTTTCATGGATTTAATTTACTTCAACTCCAACCTGAACTTACATATCAGTAATTGACGATCTGTTCTACAGTCAACCCTTAGTCTTATTTTTTTTTGGCTGCTGATATTGAGCTTCTCCATCATCTCTTCTAAAAAATGTAGTCAATTTGATTCCTGAGTGTTCCACCTGGGAAGATCCGTGTTTACAGCTGCTGTTTGTTGTTGAAAAAAGGCATTTACAATGAAAAAGGTATCTGAAAATTCTATAAAGCATGTTCCAGCTTTGCTTCTATCACCAATGCCATATTTTCCAACTACTATTTCCTCCTCTGTTTCCAACTTTTGCATTACAACCACCAATACATCTTGGTTGCATATTTAATCAATTTTAGGTGGAATAAGTTGGTAGAAGTCTAAGTTATCCATAACTTTAGTGGTTAGTATATTAACTTGAATCAGAGTTGTATTAACTGGACTTCCTTATAAGTATACAGACATTATTGTATTACAGAGAAAATTGGACTACAATAAAAATCTTGAAATGTTCTTTGCTGATAATGTCATGCCATTCCTCTTGAATTAGTCATTCCCAACTTATTATGAAATGATTGTTCAAAATTATCTTTACCATCCTATTTAAGCTACATACAACATGTCAAGGACATTGATCTTTATGTGTTCCACTTCAGTTTTGACAACTTCAAACTTTCTAGATTCATACATTTTTACATGCTGATTATTAGTGGATGCCTGCCGTGTCTTCTCACTGAGTCACACACCATCAGCAAATGAAGGTCTGGAAACTTTACTCTATACATGTCATTATGATTGACTATTTTGAGAAGGTAACTCTTCCTCGGTTGTATTTTGAATGTCTTCTGAAATGTCCTGATCTTATAAGGTTTTCAGTGGCTAATTACTCAGGAATAGACAGTTTATTCCTTTTTCATCATTTGGTAATAGTCTGGAATTCTGCTGAAACCTGCTCACCATGGCGATCCCACTGGAATTTGAAATTCCAGTGAAACAGCTTCGAACATCACAGCAACATGCAAGCCACCAGTGTATGACAAACTGACAGACAGGTGGTGGACAAAATCAGAGAAACCTTTATTAAACAAAAATATCACAATGTAATGCTATTATTTCGCTACATATCCCCTATCTTGGTTGACATACTTCTAAAGAAGATGTTTCCTTCTCTATAACCCTTCCCCCAAAGAATTCTTCCATTTACATCATGTCAATACAGCATTGTTGACATCCTCAAATGATTCTAATCATATGCCTTTTAAATTTTCCCTGTGTTTGGAGATCAAAAGAAGTCTGAAGTGACAAAGTGGGTTAGGTAAGACTTCCCAAAGAAATTGTCATATCACAGCCCTTTCTTCCCTGGAAGAATGAGCAGGTGTACTGTCCTGATGGAAGAAAATTCTACTTTTCTGGATGTTTTCCTCACTAATGCAGTTTTCAACTTTCTTAAAACTTCTTCATATTAAGTCCCCATGACTGTCCTATGTCCTTAAGAAAAAAACATACCAAGATTACCCTTATGAATCCCCAAAGGAGTGACCATATCCTCTGAACCAATCTTTCCTTTGAATTTAACTATCCCTGCAGATCCACTGCTTTGAATGGACCTTTTTTAGAAGCGTCATAATGAGACTAAGACAAATGCATTACTGAGAGAACTCAACTTCAGCCATGTACTAATCACAAAGACCTGTACAAATATTGTTTGGGAGGGAATGTACATGCATGAATTAGAACCCTAGGTTTTTTGACTTTCTAACTTACCCTTATAAAGAAGAGCAATAATGAATGTTTAAGCATTTGTAAAATAACTTAATATAAATTCTCTCATTTAATATTCACATTCTAGAGTATTAACCAGAAACAATTGATATACATTTTCTAAAATGTAAGATCTATCAAATGCTTTTTAATTGGGGATAGTTAATAATGCATGGTGAATATAAAAGTTACCTATCCTTTTGTAACGCTCTTTGGAATTTAAAGGGTTATATTCTGTCTCTTTCATCACTGTCTTGAATCTATTTGTTACAAAAGTTGTATGTAATGACTTCATGTATCAATCAAAACAATTCGTCTAGTCGCAGACTTTCATCTAAACAAAATCACAGGTCCACGTGATTTCTACCCTCCTGAACTTGAACACTAACAATCAATAGTAATAAATAGCTTATATAAAGGATAATTGCCAACCTACCACCCTTTAAGTGATTCATCCAAAATAAATAGTAAATTATCTTATAAGTTATTATAAGTAAAAAAATTGCCCAGTTTACTTCTTTTAAACAATAAACTCATTTGGGTTTATGGTGTTCGCTACTGCCAGGCCAAAAGTGCATGGTCAACGGCCTCTTCCATAATACTTTCAGAGTTCATGCAAAGATTGTATATCACGCCCGAAGAAGCCCCTCCCGAGAGAGACAGGCAACAGAAGGAGCCAGAGAGGGAAGCCTCAGGGTACAGCGGCCTCATTAAGGAGAAGGAAGGATACGGAAAGGGGCCTAAGGACATGGTGAGGAACTTCCAACTTCGCTGGAAAAGCGGGTCTGGAAAAGCTACTGCTTTTTCCTTTTTGTTTTTAAAACAATAGGGAAATGGCGCTAAGGACTTGACCCTGGCTTGGAGAACTACTGAGGGCCTTGCTGCTACAAAGTTTTCTCCCGCGAAGCAAGGTTATAAACATCCCGGGGAGGAAAACAGGCGGCCTTATAAGGAGTCGAGCCTCAGGCCCCGGCACTGCAACTCACCGGGAACCCCCGACCCAATTCATCGTCCCAGAGGTCCTGAACCAGGAGGCAAGGAGTCCAGGGAGGCAGCTCCTCCGCTCGACGCCTCTGCTCAGCGAGCGCCTCGTCCACACGGCCTCTCAAGACGCTGGGGAAAGGGCGGGTGTCTCAGGGGCTGCTTCCGGGTCAGAGGTCTTTCGGAGCACGGGGTCTTCCAGCCCGGCTTCCGCCGCTGTCGGCCCAC